GAGATTGAAAGGATTAGCAAAGTACACTGGCCTGGACCATCATGACCCTAACTCGCATACGACTCTTAGCAGCACCACTACCGCCTCAAAATTTCCACTTTCTTTTTCGATGGTATCTTTACAAACATGGATTTCATGTTAGAACGTTACAAAATTGGTCTATTTTGTAGGAGATTGAAAGGGTAAGATTCAAAAGATTCGTCAATTTCTTGTGGGATCTGGAGGAAAGATCAAAGATATTCGGGAAATTGATAGTTGAATGGCGGGAAAGCTTCCGTAATGTCATACTTGACCACGACTCATGTCTGCCCGTTGCCACTTCCCGATTAATTCTGTTTATCATTGTCAACTCGACCTTGCAACTTAGCCAATGTGGCCGATCGCGACTTCTCCGTGGTGAACACGGAGATGAGTCATTACTTCCGGCAGCATTTATTGATATTTGTTGGTGAGGTAATTAAAATATTCTATCTGATGTGTTTGTGATCATCCTTCAGAAACCGGTCTTCCAGACCTGTCGGCAATTTTTCATTCAGTCGCACTTTTCGCAATCTCTTTTTGCTTATCGATCAAAAATTTCATAAGTCACATTGTTTCTGTTCCCCAACTTACGCTGGTGCCTATCTGCTTTCTTGGAAGTCAGAATAACATCAATTGTCTGATTACAGGTAAAAATGATCGGAATGATGAACTCTCCCGCGGATACCGTGGAATTTTATGCAGCAAAGAAAAGCAACGAAGATGGTGCCAATGCTGACGAAAAGGATTTGAAAGTGTTCAGCGAAGCGAAGCGCAAACAGAGCGTTACCTATACGCAAGGTCAGATGGTTTTTTCGATATTTCTAGAAGAAACTGCTGATGCTCCTCACGTTAGGTTCTTGCAAAACAGAAGGTAGAGCCCAGCCTTCTCGGTATTGGTTTGGGAGGTATACCTCCAGGATGGCCTCGTCAGTAAACGCAGCAGAATGTCTTCTATGCTGTCGATAGTGAGCACAAGGTTGCAATTTCTTGCACGCAGCGACACACGTCGCGTCGCCATCAAATCAAGCAGCGCACCTCGTGATCAGCTGGTTTTCAACTTCCCTGGTGGGAAAAAACTTTGGGACGGAGCTTCTGCACCTTTTTCAATCTATTTTTTAAGCTTTTACTGTTTTCATCACGTCCTATGGTGAGGATCTGGGTTGGGTTTGGTGATGTTCCCTCGGTGAAGGTCACTCTAGGAAAGATTGCTGTTGATGTCAGACTTTGCGAATCCAGCGAATCGCTAACGAATCGTGGTGTACTTAGCATTATGCATGGACGTCAAACAATGCGTCAGCAGATTGAAGTATACGTGGCATGAACGAGGTACCAGCGACTTGACAGTGAAAGTGGCGGCAGCCCCTCTCAATCGCCCGTTCACTCCGAGAAATTCCGAGCTCACTAGGCACGAGAGAGAGGCACGATTCGAACGCTGACGCTTGTACGCTCGTGCCGCCTGATTCCTAGGGAATCGTAGATTCGCAATCTCTGAGAGTGATAGATACCATGCATCCGCCTTCTTGCAATGGCAATAACCCTTGTGAGAGTGTATGCCATCTTTATTTACGTGAAGTGAGAACATGCGCAGTAGTGTTGACTTGCCCGCTGCAGTATCTGCGGGTATACGACAAAGCCTTTCACTCGAGTTTGAGGTGGTGTGAAATCGATAAGACTGTAGCACAATCAAAACATTGAAACAGTGCGAGATGATGTAAAGCAATAAATCAGCGACGTGTTCAGACGGCCGTCGAATGATTGATGGAAAGATTGAAGGCGGTTCGGGCACAGCTATGCATCTATGGGGAGAAACACTGCGAAGAGGAGCGATCACGACTCACATGATTGCTAGTGATGGCGAAGATGAGAATCAGAATGACGAAGAAAGCGAAGTTCCAGATGAAAGAGGTGGGTTTCAAAGAAGTCTTCATAGTTCGACTGTGCTGCGAAGTTCAGATATGAATAAACATGCTCTGTCTCTAGAACTTTTGAGTGTTAGATCTGGTTAAAGCGAGGGATTACGATAAGATTGGACTGGGTTCATAGTGGAAGTGGAGATGCTGAATAATGCCCCAGTGGCGAAAAAAGCAAAGAAATCCGTCAAGAACGCGCAAAATGGGACCCTTTCTTTGCCCGTTGACCTCCGATAATGGACGAGCTAGCAACCAATTAGGAGGTCGTTTGCACATGTTAACCGATAGCCGCTATCATTTCAGCAAGATCATGCTTTGATTGATGACGCATTCCATGGGAAAGTTATAGGAAACGCCAATGGAAATATCTCGTCCAAATGATAAGAACAATGATGCTGCTAGCAACACACTAATGGGCGGAGCACAAGCGGCGGAGGCGGAGCTCAGGGAGGATTGGCAGCCCAAGCGCTGAACTAGCGCGCCTTTGGCCACGAAAAGGCCACATCTCGCTTCCTTAGGCCCTGACTACTGCTTCCACTGGTGCATGTACTTCCATGCTGCACACATTGCATATTTTAAAGTAATCTCTCGCTTTAAAAGCGGTGAATTGAGCAATGTTCTCATCATCCACTACGAAAGGTTCTGGGACAGTGCATCACTTGCTTCGACCCGAAAACTTCAGCCACTTCAATAAGATCGAGCATTTTGAACACCGTTTTCAGATTGTACGGAAGCTACGAAAATTTCGAACCCTGTGGAGGTTTGCGCGACGAATAAATGTCTTCGAGAGGGTCTCAGTGAAGAGAATCTGAAGGCTTTCACCGAAATCAAACAGAGGCAGACTGTTACCTATACGAAAGGTCAGTGTAACCCTACAAGAGAGAATCGCCGAATGTCACTATGAGACAGTGAGAGACTGTATCGATATGTTCCTGAACAAAATGCTGAGAGTTCGTCAAAAGTCCGAAGAAAAATAAATCTAAACACAAACATAGAATAGGTAGCTGCACTGAACATATTCATTTTTGCAAAACAGTTGCAGTATAATCAGCTTCAGACTGAACGTTGAAGAGAGAACAATGGAAATACAATCAACTGACAGATGGCAAAACGTAAAATATTTTACAAAAACACGCGTTGATGGCAGAGCTTGACAATGAAAGGGGTTCTTCAATTAATTGTAATAGCATATACTGACCCGTCTATCGCAACATAGCGGATGCATCAACCTTTTGTGTAAGAGACTGCAGAAGATTAGCTCCTACATGCCTTCTCTGTATCCTTTCTCAATTTCAAACATCAGTCCTAACTTGACAACTTTTTCGTCATCGCGACCATGCACATTTTTCGTCGTGCAACTAACTTTGGCCTCAGTTGCGTTCTGCGTGTGCTCATGCACGTTCTCCTATGTCTCACTTGAATTACGTGTAACTACGAACGTGCTGAAAAATCGTCTTCAGCGAAATCGTCTGTCAGCCATACGTTGGAAGCAAAATGGCGTGGCGCGCACAGTAGTCGCTAAATACGGCGGAATATACGATTCCAAATGAATTGCGCCACTGGAGCCTAGATAAATTGTGCAGCATGAATTGCCCTGACTACAAGAAACTGTCAATAAGGCATATAAGGCTGCTTTCATACTTCGCTCCGGTGCAGTCGGTGCGATCGGTGCAGTGGGATAAAGGATAAAGGATAAAGCATTTGCCGTTGATCAATCCCGTTTTGGGATGCGGCACGCATTCTACTTCCATTTGTACATTCGCAGTGGCATTTGAATGCGATGTGGCCTATACAATGACTTGCGGGGGCCAGCCGATGTTCAAGTCAGTGTTTTTATCCTCCCAGACAAGTCTGGTACCAATTAACCGACCCCGGAGGGATGGAAGGCTTGGTTGGCCCGGGCGACTCACGACCAGGGATTGATCCCGGACCGCTCGCGTGGTGAGCGCGCCACTTGTCACTGCACCACTTCCGCCCTGGTTCTGTTACGTCGTAAAAAT